TGTATTTTTTACGTCGGATCCCTACAAATGAGGTGTCTATGGATAGAGCTCGTCGAGACGGACAAAATAAGCCGGTCAACGCCGGAGGCAACCATAGAAAATTTTAAAGTTAACGCCCAAAAACCGTTTTCGTGTTAGGTTTCANTAAAGAGACCCGATGCAAAACAGACTATGAATTGTACGCTGCAAATGGAACATGCATTCATACCTACGGCTGGATACATCTTCAGCTCAATCTAGGCCTTCGCCGTGTATTCAAATGGAGATTTGTTGTTGCAGAGGTATCTAAACCTATAATTGGTGCGGACTTTCTCAAATTTTATAATTTACTTGTAGATCTGAGGAATCACCGCTTGATTGATGGACTGACAACAATCTCAACGGCAGCTCAACCGGTGGATAAAGCGACAAAGGATGTGGCATCAGTTAAGGCAGTCACTGGAGATGACAAGTACCACCAGCTGCTACGTGAGTACCCTGATATTACTAGACCAGCTGGAACTCCGGGTGTGGTAAAACATAACACGATGCATTTCATAAGAACTACACCAGGCCCACCGGTTTCATCACGACCAAGACGACTGCCACCTGATAAGTTGAAGATCGCACATGAGGAGTTTGAAGATATGCTATCCAACGGTACCGCACGTCGTTCAGAGAGCGCATGGGCTTCTCCTCTCCACCTCGTGCCCAAGAAGGACAATGGCTGGCGCCCCTGTGGCGATTATCGGGCTTTGAACGCCCGTACCATTCCTGATAAGTATCCTATTAGGCACATACAAGATTTTTCTCACCAACTCGCAGGCAGCAAGGTCTTCTCCAAGATTGATTTGGTCAAAGCGTACAATCAGGTGCCGCTGAATCCTGATGATATAATGAAAACTGCTATTACAACACCGTTTGGCCTCTTCGAATTTCCATTTATGACGTTTGGGTTGCGTAATGCAGCTCAAACTTTCCAGCGGTTGATCGATGAAGTGCTCCGAGGCCTACCTTTCTGCTACGGATTCTTGGACGATATCCTCGTGTACTCCGAAACTGAACTCCTGCACCAGCAGCACCTTCGTCAGCTATTCCAGCGTTTGAACGATTACGGTATGCTCATCAATACCGCTAAATGTGAGTTTGGTAGATCACATATTACCTTTTTAGGCCACAAAGTCACTGCAGAAGGCATCCTACCACCCACAGAGAAAGTGCAAGCATTACATGATTACCCAGCACCAAAAACGGTCAAGGAATTGCGTCGGTTCCTGGGAATGTACAACTTTTACCGTCGTTTTGTCCCGGGAGCAGCTGAAATACAAAGCCCACTTAACATTCTTCTGTCTGGGCCGAAGACCAAAGGTACAGAAAGCATTACTCTTACGCCTGAAATGTTAGAAGCTTTCAACAAGTGCAAAACCAGCCTCGCAGAAGCTACAATGTTGGCCCACCCCATGATGGATGCCGAGCTAGCTGTCTACACCGATGCTTCTGACACTTCCATAGGAGCAACACTTCAGCAACGAGTGAACAACCACTGGAGACCACTCGCATTCTTCTCTCGGCGTTTAACATCTGCGCAGAAGAAGTATAGCCCCTATGACCGAGAGCTTTTGGCCATATATGAAGCAATCAAGCATTTCAGACACATGGTTGAAGCCAGACCGTTCATCGTTTACACTGATCACAAGCCTTTGACGTACGTATTCGAGTACAACCGTGAGAAATGTTCTCCAAGGCAGTTTCGTTACCTGGACTACATAGGGCAATTCACAACGGAGATTCGGTACGTGAAAGGAAAGGACAACGTTGTTGCTGATGCCTATTCTCGAGTGGAATCTATTAATGTTCCCCTTAACTATGATGACCTGGCACGATCACAAGATTCTGATCAAGAACTCCAAAGCCTACTCAAGGACGGTACCTCATCGCTGATATTGAGAAAGGTCAGAGCTCCGGAATCTAACACAGAGATTATTTGCGATGTCTACAGTCAGCCTCGACCATACTTACCAGCTGCATTCCGTAAGCCCATGTTCAATGCACTGCATCGATTGAGTCACCCAGGAATAAACGCCACTGTGAAACTGGTAACTCAACGATTTGTATGGCCTGGAATAAAGAGAGACTGTCGGGTTTGGGCCAGATTATGCACAGACTGCCAAAGAAATAAAATCTCCCGACATACCTCATCTCCCACCTCTCACTTCCCCGTTCCCTCCCAACGATTCTCACACGTCCACATGGACATTGTAGGGCCTTTACCTTATTCTTTGGGTTACAGGTACTGCCTTACGACCATCGACCGCTTCACACGTTGGCCTGAGGCGTACCCGCTAGCTGACATCACTGCAGAGTCCTGCGCCCACGCCTTCATCGCTGGGTGGGTGGCCCGCTTTGGCTGTCCCTCGAAGATCACCACCGACAGGGGCAAGCAGTTCGAGTGCGAGCTCTTTCGCACACTTGCGTCCATCCTGGGCACGCAACACCGCCCAACAACGGCATATCACCCTGCCTGCAATGGTATGGTGGAGCGCTTCCACCGCCAGTTGAAGGCAGCCATCATGTGCCACTCCACGTCGAGCTGGGCAGAAGTTCTTCCCCTGGTGCTGCTGGGCATCAGGAGCGCCTGGAAGGTTGACATCGGTGCGTCGGCAGCCGAGCTGGTGTACGGCGAGCCGTTACGACTCCCGGGAGAATTTTTCGCCCCATCCTCCAACGTCAACTTCGACCCGACGAGCTTCACCTCACGTCTACGTCTCCATATGGCGAAATTGACCCCTACACCCGTCTCTCGCCATGATAAGAAGACTTTCTACATCCCCAAGGATTTGGCAACAGCAGACTATGTCTTTCTTCGACAAGACGCTTCCAGACGCTCACTAGAATCTCCATATACGGGACCCTATAAGGTGTTGGAGCGAAGAGAAAAGACCCTAAAGCTGGCAACAAAAGGCAAGGAAGTAACAGTATCCATAGACCGGGTAAAGCCAGCCTACATAGCCAAGGGCGACGACGCAAGCACCAAAGATGACGTCACGTTCACTTCCGATAAAGACGACCCGCCAGACGCTACACAAGCTGACCAACCTACACTGAAGAAGACGAGGTGCGGTAGGACAGTTCGAATACCGAAACACTATCGACACTATCGACCTCAATAACCTTCGGTCTCAGCAGGGGGGTAGTGTAGTGACCACATACACATTTCGTTTAATTTAATAAGTTTTTATTTAATAACAACTATAATATTATATCGAGCTTAACTTACCAATAATAATTAACTAATTATGTATAATTTAACCTAACTCTATAAACGTGTTAAATTCATTTATTATTGTATAATTCAGAAACTTTAACTTCATAATTTTGTGATGTTTTTGAATGCATTTTTGTATTAATTTCAAAATGAACGCTCCTTGAGACATATCAGTTTTTTGACAGCTCATGTCACGAATGACTTCCTTTTTTTATCTCGCGCTCTGCGCGCTGCTGTGTATTGTTGGTCTGCAACTGTGCAAGAATAAACTGAGTTATCAAAAACTTTAGTCGTGTAATTTATATGGTGACAGATTTCCCATAGTGTCATCATTGACTCAGGTAGGGTCAACTATAAAATCGCCAATAATAATAAAATGCAAACTTAAGTATCTTTCTCTACCTATGCAACGTATTATTTTTTGCAATAAAGCATCTATTACAATTAGAACCCTTAGGCTGAGTTGCACCATCTTCCTTTAATTTTAACAAACGTCAAAAATCTGTTAAACTCCATACAAAAACCACCAGTTATCGTTACAGATACGGTTAAAGTTTGGTGGTGCAGCCTTACAAGGTGTTACAATCTTTACCTTGACTTGCTGTCGTCTGTACATCCCACACAAAAACAGTAGTCATTATGCTAAATATTTCTTCTGAAATAACCTTCACTTATCTACCAGATAAACTATAACCTTCTTTTGAGTTTCCTGGAACGAGACGATAATCTTTTAACCAGAATAATGCTTAAATGTCTGTATACTTTTAAAAGAAGATTCCATCTTATCAAGAGAATCTCTATAATTAAATGACCATTTTCTTCCTAAGGCTCTTATATCCTTAATATACGAGAAAGATATTATAATCTTGAATAAATCTAAGAAAGTAAAATTTTATTACCTATCCGAGATAGCAGAGCTGCTCATAACACTATATTCGCTTAGTTGTTGTATTTATAGTAATGGCACAGTCAGAAACAACTAAAGCTGTACTCAGGGGTCACGGGCTTGAACCCTGGACCTCGTAGTCATTCAGAACCCATGTACATAAAACACTACAGCCTTTATCTTAAATTAATAGAAAAGCCAATGATTCACGACAAAATCTGCAGAAATGAATATGTTGTACATAAATTATGTTGACCTTTCACAGGTAGGTAGGTGGAGGTACTTGCTTGGAAAATTTCACATGCATTCTCGTAGTTTGGAGCTAACCCTATAATAGTATAATATAAGAAATAGACAACAAAATTAACTACGACAGATTCTATTGCTCAATTAAGTTAACATATCGACGAATAGTAAATCAAATAAGTATAATTAAGCGTTGCCGCACACCAATTATGTCGGTCCAAATTAAGTGGTATCATTTACCAATAAAATATGGGCATAGTCTCACAGTGATCCCCAGATTAATGTCTCACTCCTTCACAGTACAAACAATCAGTTAATTTACATAAAAGAAAGCGTTTAATTCGGTTAAGCTCTGCGGTGAATCTCCGGTTTAAACTAACTAAGCTCCTCGTGGTCATTTGTACCCGTCGCTCCAATAATTAAGGCAGACAAGGCGAGCTGTAAACGGTTAACTGCCTTTAAATAACAGAATAATGAGAAGCGTAACCGGATCTCCTGAGGTTAAGAGTTATGTTTACGCATTGCCTGAGATTTTAGACACGGTTAATTGATGAGGTTAATTACATATTAACTGTCGAGCTATTCCGTTATGTGAGTATGAGTTGAGAAAGCCTGGAGACTCACAAAGAAGGAGGTTTTTCCAGCTGCCGCCGAGGGCTCGAAGACAGCGGTGGAGGCGTGGTGCGGGGGTGGGCGGCGCGCGGGGGAGCGGCATCCTCACGTCTCCCTCCGAAGAACTCCTAGCCAGCAACGACCCTCTATCCCTCGACAAAGATCTACGCCTCCCGAAAGGAGCGCCGCGCACTGTCGCGAAATTCTCTTCACAAGTCACACTGAACGTCTCTAACGGTATACCCTCTGGCTCTTCCCTCCTACTCCTAACGGAGAACGTTCTTCTGAACCCGTTCGCGAGACTGTCCATTGTTTTCCTTTTCGGTTTGGGGAGTTCTTCCGAGCTTATGACAGTGATGTCGTCTAAGTCTTTGGGCTCGTATGATCTGTACGTTCTTGGCTGCTCGATTCCCGTTAAGTCCTCAATGCCTCCGTGGCGGTACCTCAGAGGTCTACCACGGTCGATGATGCCGAGCTCATCGTAGCTCCTGTAGGTGGATGAGGCCCTGCGCGGCGCAGGGGGCCGACCAGCTCTATCAATGGTCATTTCTAACGCGCTGTCCGATTCCTAAGGCAGACCTGATGAAGAAATAATGCAGTTCAGCTTTTGTTCAGTTTTGGAGACTGACTATCTTGGCTTGCAACTGCGTGGGTACGTGTCTAACTTTCAATCATATTTCTGTTAAAAACTCAGATTTTATTTAAAGCGTATGCGACAAAAACAATGATCTATCGATCAGAAAACTTGGAGAAGCCGTTTGTCAATGCCCCTTTCTTTCCGACACCTCACAAAAAGTTGGGCATATTAAATTTCTTGTACCGCCCTGCGTACGTTCTGCCGTGAATTTATGTGTGACCAGAAGCAACAACAGTTAGCTTAGTGTTATATTTGCGTGTACGACAACCGTTTAGCGTCACAGTGTCGTGACTAGGTGGAGTTGCAGAGTTACATCGTAATAAAATTTGTTTACCATCCCCGCGAGCGCCGATAAGGTAAATCTATTGATATGTTCACGAAACAGCGAAATCCTTGCAAAGTTTTGTTACTATAATGTTTTCACTCTGAATAAATTAACTTCAAAACTTGAAGACTTACTTTTGACTATGCGACATAGAGTTATTGACATAGATGTCATCAAAATCGGATAAGGTGAGTGTGTTTGCAAATGATCTTCACGTATGCCTCTCGGCAAAGTCAAGTAGCTAATTGTGCCGGTGCAATTAGTGGTTAATGCCACTTGTCTTGTTTCAACCACTCGAACACAGATCTGATTAAGGACGGAATTCGAACAATTGGTGGATTAAGCAGCTTCCCCTTCAATTACCTCGTTAAGAGCATCCTTTTTTATACCGTCAAAGGTGAAAGTAATCTCGCCACGTATTGCGTTTGATTAAAACGTACCCTATTGAATGTGGAGCGGAAAGTAGGTGTTTATATTAAACGCGAACAAAACACTGCTGAAGAAAGTTCGTTGTATCTGCTCGCTTTTATTTTGTTTTTCTTATCAGACTGAATGTACATTTAAAAGCAAAATGTCACTTTGTCTCGGATGAAAAAGCGTAATCGATATCCCGACAAGAAAGATCTCGCGAATAGCGGTGAAAATTTAATATTGAAATAACGGGCCGCCTCGTGGGTTTAGTGGAGTCAGAGAGCAGTAATGACGTTTTTATTGTTAACAAAGAGGTATCTGTTTCACGATGATACTTAACGAGTTTTTAAGAGGGTTCCCTAAAGCTTGATTGACCAAAACTACCGAAGTTGAAATTCTTGGAATGGGATTTTGTTTGGGTTTGAATGCCATTAATATCAATTTCAAACGGAGAGTGAATGTATTTTAATGCCTTCCCCGTTTGGTTTATTGACATAAGCGAAGACCACTTGTTAAAGCCCTGGAGCTTTAAAATTAGACTCACGCATCTTTCGTCGGAGGACGTAGAGCCAATGCTTTTAAAACAGGAAGTAGCTAATGGTTTTTGCGTCCAATAAACGAATTTATAGTGCTCTAGTGTTGTTTTTTGAGAGTGAATAAAGAGTTCTGTTCGTATCACTGTGTTTGGATTTGCTATAGCTAATAAGTGCCTAGTCAAATAAACGTATTTTTAATTTTAACGGTTTAGTATTGTGTAAAATATTGCAGCTAAGTCTTTCGGTCTGTACTAAAATGTACCTTCAACTTTTTGGTGAGTATCTAGCTGTTTTTATAACATCACAGTACTGGTACAACTGGTAATGTTGCCAGTTTTTCAAGGATGACAGAATAAGGAAGCTATAAAGTTCATAATATGTGACAGAAAACAAAACAAGAAAACGTGCGTGCATAATGTTTATGTATGATATGTGATGTTGAGCAACGATTATCCCGAATAAGGCGTCGGTGTCATGCACAATACAGTATATCTATATAAACTTATGTATGTTTGTCCTAGTTGGGTCAGCAGATTTATTAATATTCGATTTGTCCGCTTTATATGGATGGATAAACGATTTCTCTGCTCGTTTTGATTTGTGATTGTGAATATTTGAGCGTTGTTGTGAAGTTTCTATTTTCTATGTATTTAAAGCGTTTGGTTTGAACGTGAACTTTGAACTAAAACCAAATAAGATCTTGGGAAAACGTTGTCGTAAAAAAGGAGAAAAAAACATGTTTGGCAACGTTACGGGTTAATTAATTGAAAGTTTTGATAACTTGAAATAAAGGATCTTTTTGGTAAGTATAAAAGGTGAATACAGATGACACGTCAAACTAAGGCATCTTGTTAATGGTAATAGAGGTGATATTGCAACAAAAATATAGCCTTATGTGATGTGCTGTCGTCCGTACAACATGTGACATAAAAAGTAGTGTAGATAAATTTTGTCGTAGTTATAGTATGTCTTTCAAAAAGCGCTCTAAGCCGACTAATTACAGCATCCAGTGTATCATCCCATGGCTCCCGATTAGCCTGTACAGTATAATCCGCCGGGAACACAGCACACAAGGGGGTATTGATCGATACGCCAACTAAGCCGATGTACAGCTAAAGGAGTTACAACAGTACACTTCGTACAGAAATGTCAACGATGGTGCTAAATTAGACTGTTTTTGGTTTATTCATGTGTAGATAAAAATGAAAATTGTGTATTCAATGAGTAAGTGGAAATCAGGAAAGGATAAATAAAAACGATAAATACAGAAATCACATTCTTATCAAGTAAGAATAGTAAATTATAAGGATCAGTGACAAAATGAAATAGATTTATCATACACTTAATTTCAGGTTTTCAACCTTTAAGCAGTTAAATATTTTGTTTATTTTATTCTGTTTTACAAACTTCCAGGAAAACCTCCTTGTTTGGAATAAAAATCAATTGACTAAATACTTAGCTAGAATCCAGTCTTAAGCGGTATTTAAGATTGATACAAGCCAAAGATAATCTGGCTGTTCTCGTCCACCTGCTGTCGATGTCTGACTCAGATGATATTGGACTTGCTAATTAAACTAAACTACACCATCAAGCAATATTATAACCATAGCTCTGGGTGTAAGGTACAACATCGGGTGGCGTTGAACGATTGCTTTGTTGATAGCAGGGATTCCGCGTTTACTGTGAAGCAACCGCACCTACATTGTAAAAGCCCTAGCACACGACGTATTTAAAACGCGCGTTTTTACTGCGCGACGACACGGCGCGCTTTTTTCCTACAAATGTCTATAGACTGGGTCCGACTTTCGCGTGTATCGCTATAAACGCGCGTCGAAGGCGCGCTTAGAATACGCTGTGTGCAAAGGCTCTAATGTAGACTCATCATTTCAAGTTCAGAGTGAGCAAACATAATAGTTGATTAAGATTTTTGCAACTTTATTTGACCTTAATTAAAGAAAAAACTGTGTGAGCTACAATAAAGTGTATCGTGTAACTAAGAGAAGGTTAATTTTATATTATACGTATTCTATGATAGAAGAAGACATACTTAGATTATTATGGCGAAGTCTGTATTGGTCATTTCCTTATGTGTGTTACAAAAATTGCACGTGCTTTTTTTTTTAATTCATGCTAGAGTTTTGTTTTGTTGTAGAGCTAGAAGTGCTGCATACTTTCCAAATGCATTTAACAATTAATTAATCTATGCTATCGCCACTTTAACATTGCAACGCACATTCTAAGGTAAACAATGGTACGTTGACATTACGCTCGCCAAGACTTTGACAGCCTGTTATTTATAACCAAGTATAGTTAACATTTGACTGTACACTTTTGTTGCAAATTAGCACCAATTACAACGGAATAAGAGCCTACAGGGTAAAGCTTGATGTGCAGTCTGTACAAAGGACTTTAAACACTATCGCAATTAAGGATAAATACGCTGCTCACGTCGACGTACCTCATTAATTACTCTGACACCGATATACCACTTGAAGGTACGTAATGATAACAAGTAAGAATACTATGTATGTTATTTTTTACGACGATAGCGAGAGAATTAAGTCGTTTAAAGTACTTCGTTGACTTTTTTACTAATTTCATACAGTCACACTTCAATAACCGCACCCTACATTGCAACTATAAATGGTGCGTATCCCCCTAAAAATAATAACAATATTAGTTGAGTTTACTCATATTATTAAGCAATTTGTGGCCAAGGTTAGCGAAACCTGATCGAAACGTGACCACCATCATGTTTGCTCGTTCGTTTCAACCTAATGCCGTCCACTGCTGGACAGATTAAAACGCTTTTTTATGCAGAAAAAGGAAGATATTTTAACGCAATCACACCTGATGCAATCTAAGATAGAGAATTTCCACAACAACCAACCATGGAACCTTCATGAAATATCTCAATGTCCATCCCATTTGAGTATTTCGCCCGTATTCACAAACGATGCTTGCTTAAGTGAAGCAGCAAATCGAACGCACAGCGTTGAATAGAGCTCTGTGATTGGTTCGTGTGTCACCCTGTGCGTCCACGCGCACTGTTAGACCTCATAGTAATGTTTGTGAATATGGGCGTAAGTCTTGTAAAAATCCATATCCTGCGTTATTTCCCAACGCGTTTATCTTAAACAATTACCTATTTCGCAGCGTTGGACCCCAGACTTAAGCTTAAAGATTTCTTATCTTTTTCGGATTCTCGGAATACAATCATAATAAGTAACTGCGCAAAGACACGTCATTAAAATTGCGCTTCAAAAGTTGTGGAAAAGTTTCGAAACAATTATTCTTAATATGGATCCAGTATAGTTTCACAATGATATAAGTCTTGAATCGAGCCCTATTACAGTCGAATAAAAATAATTCGGGAGAAAATGTTGGTGATCGCTTCGCAATTTTACATCTATTGCAATCATTTATTATTAAATATTGAAACGATGATCAAGTTTACTATCCATGAATCTATGTTAAAAGTCATAATTAGTTGTCATGTTTGTTTCGATTAAATTTACAAAACGTCAAATGGAATAAAAATACAAATGTAAAATACCTACAGTAGCTCAAAAAGTCAAGGTATAAAATAATGATGACGACATAATATTATTATTGTAATTGCAATAATTATCGAATTTAAAAAGCTGATAATAGCCAACTTTTTAAAATT